TTTTCAATAATAGAAATTTCGTCGAAATTTAAGAATAACATTAATAACTACAACAAAAAGAATTATATTTATCATTTTTATAGCGTGTTGAGGAAGCTTTCTCAACATCTTGGATTTTATCAGTTTCTGCACCTCCTCTGCTTCATAATTCACCAGTTAGGCATTTTATTAATGAAGAATATTTTTTCGATGAATTGGGTATGAGTCCTGTAAATTCTAGAGTTAAGAAAATCGGTTAGTGTTCATTCTTTAGTCAGAGTAGTTGTTAAAGCTGTTTATTTTTTATTTTTGCAGTTGAAATTGCAGTGCGATATTTAAAATATTTCGAAATTTTAACAAAATAATTGGTGGTAGTAGTTTTTTTCTTGAAAATTTTCTTGAAAATCTATTAATTTTTGGTTTCAGAGTGCGTGACATCAGATTATATGATGCCTTTCAATATTCCAAACGAGCCGTCGATGGCATTTTGTTTACGACCTGATGTAATGGAATATGACGAATGCACCATGTTCCCAGAATATGTTGTTGAACCCATCTTTTATTTGGCAATAAGGAATCTCATAATTGCTTTATGGAACTTAAATCCTTTTGTAATCAAATATTTTAATCAAATATTGATGCATTTTTTTTGGATTGGGCTTCTCATTCATTTACATAAAGTTTCTTGTTTTTTCTTAGGAATATTTGACTGTTGAACAATGCAAATCAAATCTAATGTGCCGTGGACTAGCTCGTGTGTGGTACTGCCATGAATTGGAAAGAGTTTGGGAATTTCTAACCGTAAAATCAATGATAAATTATGGTTTTTTACCTCTTCCAAATTCTCTTGTGTTGGAATCAAAATGTGATGTAAGTAAATATATGTTTGTATATTTTTTCATTTCTTCTCTTTACAAAATAAATTTTTAATGCTTAATTTGATTCAAAAAAAAATTTTTTTAAACTCATTTTTAATTTAAATTTTTCCTATTTACTATTTTTCCTTTTTTTCAGGATCTTGATGTTATTATCATAGGTGCTGGAATAAGTGGTTTAGGCGCTGCTAGGCAACTTAAATCATTTGGTGCTAATGTGAAAGTTCTCGAAGCTAAAGGCAAAATTGGCGGACGACTTGTGGTATATTTCGATTTTTGATTTTTTTAAGGTTTCAAATTGGTTACCTCTGCTTCATGTTTGATAATTCTTATTTTTTTTTGTGGAGGATGACTGGTCACTTGGTGTTGCTGTCGGTTTTGGAGCTCAATTAATCACTGGAATCATCAACAACCCAGTGGTTGTAATGTGTGAGCAGGTAAGATTTTTGAAAATTTTTTTTTGGTGCAGTTTTCTCAAGGTCTTTAAACAATTTTTAAGAATTTGAAGAGTAATTAAGGCCTTCAAGTGTAGAGAATATTTTATGAGTTTTTAATCAATTTTATTTACTTTATCTTCAATAGTTCTTTCTCATCAGATAAAGTTTCATGCTTCAATTTTTCTAATATCTAGCACCACTGTTGATTTGGTCCGCTCCATTGGCGATATGGATAAGACATTTCCAAGTCTTCTGATGCCATTCCTAAAAGTAAATGAAATCAATCAATCTTTTTCAATCCTTTTCCCACCGTATAAGACTTATATCACGGAGCACCATATGCTACATGTTCTCCTCTGGCCGTGTTAGTCCAAGTTTTAATCGGTTCTCTGGGCTTTTGACTCCACTCGTGAAGATTTAGCGAATGACTAGAATTGCATTCCCATGGTGAAAGATGAGAAACATGATGATGAAACTAGCGCAGTCGACGCCTTTTTGACAATTTTCTTTGTGAAAATAGTATTCGAGTGAAGATGAACGCAATTTTGTGAGAATTTATCCACTCGGCGAAAGCGGAAGATGCATCCTAAGCGAAGATGGTCGGAGGCAAATAGTTTGCTGATATCTTCCATTCTCATTAGTCAAAATTCGCAGTTATATAATAGTATATAACAGAATACTGTGCGTACTATAGCCAAATGTATGTGAACTTTAGCTAATGAGAATGAAAGATATCAGGAAGCCTTGGAGCCGAATTCGCGGCAATTCGAAAGGAGTTCCGCCAGACGGAAAAAAGCACTGGTCGCCCAAGCTGGAACTTCATCTGTTGCTTGGTCACCAGTTATAAGAGTGGATCCGAAACATTAGTCTGATATTTCATTGAATCTTTGATGAATATATTTGTAAAAAATAAATAAAATAGCGTAATAAATGAAAACAGCGGAATGATGTTCGCCTACTTTGAAATGTAATGTAAAAGACGAAAAGATTGCTGTTGCTGCCGATATCTGGTCTAATATCTTTACTTCTAATATCTGTTGTAGTTGCTCATAGACACCAGCGAGAGATTCCATATTATCAGTGTATTCGAGATCTGTGGTACTATGTTTTGCACCTACTTGCACATTTCTTGAATGCCATTTTCACAATCACTGCCATTTTTTTAAAGAGCCCTCACCATTACTGGTTAGACTTATTTCGCTGCCTTGCTGCACTAGACAATTATGCCAAGAAGTCCTTTGGCGATAGAAGTAAAAATGAATCGCCGAACTTTTGGACTTGTTTATTCTTGAAGGGAGTGGAACTTCAACATTGGAATTGAGCTAAGCCATTCTATCTCCAATCAGTGTCCATTATCCAGCCTATGCATAATTGGAAATTGTAAAGGAGAGAATATGATCTTAATGCAGCGGTCCGTATTTCGACAGGTTGTTCCCTATATATACAAACCTATACTGATCCCTTGAAATGCTTTTGAATGCCATTTCTGAAATACCATTGTATTGTATAGCAAACATGGTCCGACCTAATGAAATTGCCAGTTTTGGCTCCGCGATATGCGTATCTATCTGATTTTATCTACTCTGATGATTTGTCATCAATGATTTAAGAAAATAATGATCATTCTGCTTCGAGTATTGATTGTCCGGCGAGTTTCAATTTGATGTCTTTTGCTATGTCTTTTCAAAGCTACTAGTAATTAAATTCCTCGACAAAGCGAAGAGCACATTTCGGCGTCATATTTATCGGACACAGAAGATAGTGGGGTAGCGTTAAGACCTATATGTCCATTTCAAATAATTAATGTAATTACGAAGTTGTTAAGGAAGATTGTAAGAATTAATAAAAAGAAAAAAGAGTAAAAAAGAGAAAAAATAAAAAAAAAATTAAACTGAAATTAAAATTTAAAGTTAAAAAAGGAGCGCCGATCGATTGGATCAACATAATAACGAATCAGTATAATGCGAGAGAAGATAACTCAATCACTCTCGATTAGCACAGTCAATGGAATCCCTATATTACTCATTGGTTAAATTTTTGTTCATATATTTTATTCTTTGCGTTGATTCCTATACAATTTTCAGTTAGGTATACCATATCGCGGAGTGACTGATGATTGTCCATTAGTTGATTCAGTGCAAGGAACAATAGCGAAAGGAGTTCACGATCAGTATGTAGACGAACATTTCAATTGTCTATTAGATGTACTGGCTGACTGGAAAATTAAAGTTAAGGGTCATGATCTAAGCTTATACGGTATGTTGGTATTTACAGCGTTAGTATAAAATCATTTTGATGGCTTTCTTGCTGTAAAATTCGTTTTTAAAATTTCAGTAAGGTTTAATAGATTTTTTTAAAAATATTTTTCTTAAATATTTAAATTGCGAAATGATTATCATTGAATCTTCATTTGAATTTAGTTCTTAGAACTTTTTCATTTGTTGAATCTACATTAGAAATGGGTTTGAATAAGAAGCAAGGGTAACTTACTTAACTTAATTGAATAATGTTAAATAATAACTTTGTTAAACTTTTTTAAATCCATATCTCTTTTAGAATATTTCTTTTTTGGAACATTTTTCGTTTTTAGATCAACTAATGAAACATCATTTCACTTTCTTAAGGGAATGTTCGCTTAACTGGACAGAAGTAAGCTATTCCATTATTCCATTTATATAACATATAACATATATATATATATTGAAGGTCATGACCTAAGCTAATAGGCATGTTGTTATTTTCCAATTCACAATTTAATTTTCCAGTTCACAATTTGGGAATAATTGAAGTTTTTGTTAAGTTTTACGATATTATAAATTTTGCACTCCCAAAACTTATAAAATATAGATCTAACTCTTAGTATATACACATGCTGGCATTCAGATTTCTTTCGTCTTTTTTGTAATTTTTTGCTGTATTGCTTCTGTATTGCTTCCTAACCATTTGCTGGTTTTCACTGAGAAGTATAGAAGTTTTTTTTCCATTTGTAAAAATTTTATTTTATTCAGGCAGAAGAGCGGATGTTTCAGTGGCAAATTGGTAATGTGGAATTCTCATGTGGTGCTGAATTGAAGGAGGTATCAGCACGTAACTGGGACCAAAATGAAGCAGTTGCACAGTTTGCTGGTGTGCATGCTTTGTTAACTGATGGATGCTCAGAATTAATGCGTAAATTTGCCGAAAGCATCGATGTACGTTGCAATCATAAGGTTATTAATTATTTCCTTTTATCACTGTGGTATTTTTTGTTCATATCTCTCATTTTTTTCTTTCAAGTTTTCTTTCATTTAATAATTTTTAATTTAATTAAAAAATAATTTAATAATTTTTTAAGGTGGATTTGATTGAATGGAAAGGAAGAAAAAAGATTTTAGTAAAATGCGCGAATGGTAAACGATATTTTTCTGACAAGGTCTTCTTAAATTTTTTTGATTGGGAAAGTTGTAGTATTTCAAGTATATCATGACTATTTTCAATACAATTAAATATTAATATTCATATTTTATCTTGTAATTTTATATTTGATATCATACTATCCCAATTTAACAAGGATTATTATTATGATCCTGTTAACTTGTGGATTTTATGCTTGCTAGAATAGCACATCCAGAAAATTTAATTAATTTTGATTTTATCGACATCATTTTTGTCAATAATTAATTATTTAATTATTTATTTGGTTTCATTTTAAATTATCGGAGCATTGATCCGCAAATTAATTTCCTTGGTTTTAATATTAATATTTTGTCATTTAGTTCCACCATTTCATTTCTTTTTGTCATTTTAAGTTTTTTGCAGATTGCGTTTATAAATCTTTTAAATTCACATTCTTTTAAATTAGTTGTCTTTTTGGGCATATTATAGGTTTTCATTATAGGTTTTAATAACAGTGCCATTAGCAGTGCTTCAAAAAAACGGTATTAATTTTGTACCTGAATTGCCCAACAAGAAAAAACTTGCTCTCGATCGTCTGGGAGCAGGTTTAATTGAAAAAGTATTTTTTTTTGGAATATTTTATTTAAGAATGATCTTGAAACTTAATTTAATTTATCAAATTTAATTTTTTTTTGGCAGGAGTAAACTTGTTATTATGTCAAAATCCGAGTGGTTGCTGGAGACCCACTATGACTCTATGGTGAAAGGGTCAAATACACTTGATGCTGCGTCCGCGTCTTCCGACGCGCATGATACTCCGAGCTCGGTGCTACATGCAATAAATATACAATCCGGGCTTAAAGCGATCTCAAAGCTGGTAAATAAAATCTGCTCGCAAGCGGGTAATTACTCGAAACCTATCAAGGAGAACGGCACTCTGCACGCGCGACGAGGTATTAGCCGTATTACCGTGGAACGTCAGAACGCTTATGGATGCTGCAAGCCAAGCAGTCATTGTCCACATCCTGTCTAAATATCGTGTGGATATTGCTTGCTTGTTGGAGGTCCGTCTTCCTCACTTTGGGTCTCGAATAATTATTAATCCTGGTTCAGACCAGAGATACTGGCTATATCATTGATGCTTCGAATAACTCGGGACGAAATGGCGTAACGATTGTCATGTCTGACAAAGCCCATTCCGTTTTGATTGAGTGGAAACCGATAAACGACCGTATGGCCTATGGGCGTTTTAAGGGTAAGTTGTGCAATATCTCGGTTAGTGTTTATACTCCAACGCTGTTGGCAGATGACCGTGATAAAGACAAGTTCTATGCAGAACTTCAATTGCTGACAAAGTCACAAAGTCTCTACCGAAACATG